ATCAAATATTAGCCTTCCCATTACGAGATGATATTTGACTCCTTAAAGTGATTTACAGGGAATTTTTTATACCTTTGTAATGGCATTTTTCTAACTTTATTAAAAGTATGTCATCTTTTGTCAAATTCTAAAAATTATAAGCTTTTTAAAATTTCTAATTAAAATAACAGAATAAAATCAAGTAGAATAAGAATAAGTTACCAATCAAATAAAATCAGTATTAAAAAAAAAATTATTTGTACCACAGAGGTGGCACAGAAGAACACAAAAGTGGTTTGTAGGTGTATTTTCAGACATTTAATGAGGCTCAGAGGTGGCATAAGTGGAATTAAATTCATAAATTCATGTTGAGGTTAATATTTTAAATATAACATTTTGAATATAGAAATATTAAACTAATTAACTATCAGAAAATATTCTTTAAAAATGAAAGTAAAACTGCCAGTAGGTGGTGGCAAATCATTGAGTTTATCACTGAATCATTCATTCAATTGATTCGTTCGAATGACTAATTCATTCAGGAATTAAGTAAGTGACTGGCTTCATGAATGGGTAATTGATTCAGATTCGTTTAAAAACGCACACGTTCATTCATAAACGAAACACTGCTGTGTTTGCTTGGAAATGCGCAGCGGCTCAGCTGTGACTTTGTTTGAAACTATTTTCGTTGATGAAATAGAGCAAAATCAGGCAATAGTGTTGTAGTCAGACAATGCAAGTCACTTAATATTAATTTCTTGTTTAATGAACTGTTGTATTAAATCAATATCACACTTGCAAACTCCCTTAATCATTAAAAGCTGTCATCGCGAACTCACAAACTTCCATTATAATCGACGAAGCTCCCTACACTGCACAATGAATCTCTTATTTACACCTTCAACATTTTGTTTGCTATAATGAGAGGATTTGTGAGATTGCTCAGCACTGAACAAAACTCAGGTGTTTGAACAGTGAGTGGATTCTGATTATCATTGTGTTCAAGGAATCAACAGATTTGTTTGTGATACATTACTCAACGCAGCAAAAACACGTTGTAAATAAGTTAAGAAACCTTTGAAGCTCTCCTGAGCGCAAACAGAAATATGCTAATCGGGTCAGTCGCACTGGTGCTCCTAAATATTTTTTTTCATAGTCGCACGCAGTAATTTTCATTCGCAAATGCACTGCTTCTCCATAGGTTCATGCAGGGCTGCGCATCAGCTCACACGCTAAGTTTTTTTCTCGCTCTACCCTATCTCAACCCCCAATCATTAGCGCAGTTTCAGTTTGTATTTGACAGCGCATATAGGAAATTTTTTTTTAAATAGCACCATTCTACTAAACAAAATTTATTTCAAATTGAATTCAAGCACTTTCAAGGACTTATATTTGTTTTCAAGTACTTTCCAGGCCTTGAATCCATGCGTCTGATATTCAAGTACTTTCAAGAAGCGTGGGAACCCTGGTTACAGTTGAAAAGTTTAAAATACAATAAAAGCAGTAATATATTATAAAGTATCATTATAATTTCAAATAACTTTTCTATTTTAATGTAACAATGTAATTTATTCCTCTGATGAGAAAACTGAATTTTCTCCGTCAACAGTGTCACATGATCCTTCAGAAATCATTCTAATATGCTGATAAAGAAACAGTTCTTAATGGGTCCTTTCTAAATTAAATTAATTTGTTAAAAAAAAAAAAAAAAATCTGTAGTGTAACTAAAATAAATTAGTAAAATTATTTAATAGTACATCTTTGTATTTTTCTTTAAATATTCAATAATAAATATTCTGGAACTGCATAAATGGTAATACTTTTTTTTTTTTGCCTGTTCTCCCTGATTCACTTCCATTCTTTATACAAATAAAGAAATCGAAGTGAATCAGGCAAAACATGAGCTCAGATGTAGTTCAACTTGTCTGCCATTTTATTCCAACCGTTACTCCTGATCTGAGGCTTTAAGTAAAAATTGGGCATTTAGTTTATTAAGACAGACCTGCAGAGCTGGTCATTTTTCATGGTCTTCCCTCCATATCTAATCTCAAGCCATCTCAGGGTGAAGAGCAGCAGAATACACTGGGTATACGGCTACGGATGCCACAACAAAGATTCAGTGTAAAATAAGACATTATAACACACTTTGAGACAATAAAATTATATTTACAGCAACTTACAGACACAACAGAGATGAAGAGATTCTTCCACAGGAAATCATCATCATGAAGAGACTGAAGGAAGGTGGCCTAGAATGAAAAAGACTTGTATTAGGTTCAATAACAATAGGGACATTTCATTCATGCCCTCAGACATTGAATAGATGGAGTCCTGTAAGTAAAGTATTACCATAGTAATGCAGTTAAGGCAACCCATAAGAGGGTAGAGTGGACTGAAGAAACACAGTGCATTGTCTGTGTATATAAAAAAAATAAATTATACATATATATATATATATATATATATATATATATATATATATATAATGCATTCTGGCAAAAAATATTCATAAAACAATTATGAAGTTAATATAAAAAAAATTAGCTAAAATAAAAATTCAAACCATCATTATATGAAGTTACAACACAAATATATACCTCTTTGTCTCTTGTGTGGTCCATTGCAAAATAGGCTGGCATCCCAGCAGCCAGCATCCCAAGAATCACAGCCTCAATATAAACCAGTGCATAGGACGTCTTATCAGGGATTTGCTAAAATGCAGAAAGAATATAGCCGTTGACACTTACAAGAAACAAGAATAGCAGTATTTATGTACAGTGACTTCAGTGTATCAATGCACTACACTCACATAGTCGAAGGGTTTAGTCCATGTTTTAATGTGTTCAGTGCCATTAAAGCCCCTCAGGAGGGCGTTACTGAGCACATTGACAACCATTGGCAAGGAGTGCACGGTGGTACTGTTAAAAGCTAAAATGTAGCAAAAATCCTGGTATTGAGAAACAACGAGGGAGGACAGGAGGGGTTAAATAAAATTTTCGAAGAACAGCAAGCATTTCAATTATTTTTCAACAGAAAAATGATCATTTCAGAACAATCCATTGTTGAGAAATGTATTCCCAAACTCAAACTGTGGAGTGTAAAAGTATAGAGAGGTTAACCAATTGTACTGGAAGGCTCACTTTACTGGATCCTGTCACGTTGATGGCGGCACTGACAGGTGCAGCAGACATGTAGTCCGTTTTTTTCATCATTTCCACTTTAATGTCCTGAGACGCCAGATTGTGGATGAACCCTGACAGGTCAGAATCTACCACAACACACAGATTATACATTAACTAAGTATTGAATTGGTTAATGTGAATTGTCAATATAATATGTACAAGTATTATCACTGACCGGTGGAGTTTTGCAAAAGCAGGCTGGTGGTATATTTGCGAGGAGCCTCGTTGCGGTGCAGCAGGTATATAGGTGAAAACAATCTTTCAGGAGAATGAATCTGAATGTTTCCTGTGGCCACGGACAGAATCAGCATTGCAGACAAGAAAACCAGGAACAGTGTCAAACTGGGTAAAAGTATGAGAAGAGAGAAAAAAGTATGACTTATAGCTTTGTATAACACATGAAGCATAAGGATTATTAAGATACTGTTCATTAAGATATGGTTCACTGGTTCATTTGCATCCTTTTCCTCTATGGGGTTGAGCATGGCCTGGGTCTGATTCAATATAAATATAATTTTGGGTCTGCAAGATTTTTTTATATTTTTGAATAGTATGTGTGTACTGTGTACTACTGAAGGGCAAACATGATCAACTAGTACTTGCAAGCATTTGCTCACTTGTATATAAAAGGTTTTCTCTCTCTCTGTAGGTTGAGCATGTGCAGCCAGGCCACCGTGCTAAACTGCTGCCTCCAGAGGGCACATCCGGTTACTGCATCCTGCCTGCTGTCTGAAAACGTCAGCAGCCGCTGGTCTGTGTCATCCATAGATGACACGTCTCCCTCGTCTTCCAACTTTTCTTGGTTAAACACACTGTAGTCTACCAATAAAGGAAAACACAAGCGGGCGTTATACCTCTTGAGCACTTCCCTGTGCTGGTTCACTGTAATACTGATTAGTTTCATGTATTTTATGTCAAACAGTAAGCTATTAAACAGCCGATCTTAAAACGGCCATTTTGAACAGAGATGCTTTGAACCAGTTTAGGTAGGTGGCTATCTTACCAGCCTGATCCACCTCTGCCTCTGCCTCCAGACGCAAGAATACATCCTCTAACGTTGTCATGGAGACACCGTAGTTAATGATACCCAGGTCAGGTCGACAGTCCATCTCCGCAAACAGCCCTGGAGTGCAATGTGAGTGAGAGGCGAGAAGAGTTTAGTAACCATAGAAATTTATATTTTTGGATTGCAAGAAACAAGAAAACTAACCACCCACCCACCCACACACACATACACACCAAAAGCATTCCTAAAAGAATCAAAGTTCTTACATACACACACACGCACACAAACAAACAAGCAAATAAATAAATAGATAGATACTTACTATACATCCATCATCATTTACTAACCTTCATGTCATTCCAAACCCATATGATTGTGTTTCGTCAATGGAACAAAAGCGATTTTTGAAGAATATTCAGGTTATTCTTTTCCATACAATGAGTGAAAAAACCCAAGTCATACAGGTTTGGAATGATATGAAAGTGAATAAATCAAACTGTAAGCGTGAAGTAAACACCCCACCAATATCAGACTTCATAAAACAAGACTACATATAATAAATCTATATAAAAGCAAAAATTAAATCAGCCCCAATAAAACACCACCGCAGTCCTGGTGAAAGCATGAAACAATCTGTTGCTCCGCAGGGCATATGGCAGTGTGGCACATAGCAGATGGAGACATGAGGGCAAATAGAAGCAAGACCTGGGAAAGTGTCCATGCTCTCGAAAGGCAATGTGAATGTAAGCTCAGCCTCTTGCTGCCTTGACAACTGAGCCTTGGGAACATGCTGCTTGACCAGTGATGTGATGTTCTCCCCTTCACAGCCTTCAGTTACAGACATTCTAGAGGAGGTTTAGAATGACAATGTTAATGTAGCAGCAGCAATGGGTGACAGGAAGAAAAAAATAGTACATGTATTATGTACTATTTATAGTACATAAGAACTCACCTAAGATGGTAGCCAACCCCACACTTGGTCTTCAGGTACAAAGAGGAACCAACACATTTCAGTTGTCCTTGAGAGATGACAGCTTTACGATCTGCAAGACAGAAAATGAACAGAGGCAAATAAGATTGAGACAAAGATGACTGATGAAGAAAAGTGAAAAATGATAAAAGTACCTGCAAGTATATCTGCCTCGTCCATGTAATGAGTACTGAGTACAGTAACTCTGCCTGCTCTACGGCTCTTCAGTAAGGACCAGACCTGGTGCCGAGACACTGGGTCCATACCTGCCGTTGGCTCATCCAGAAGAAGGATCTGATTCATAAGCAAAAGGACACTAAGGGAGGGGGATAAATAAGCAAACAAAAAGTCAAAGGTATATGCCATCAGACATTTACCTTTGGGTCTCCGAGAATTGCTATGCCCACAGAGAGCTTCCTCTTCTGGCCTCCACTCAGGTTCTTTGCCTGGGCATCCATAATCTTTTCTAAATCCAGATCCCTTAGAACTTTTCTCACCTTAAAAAAACGGAGATATTTTAGAATAGAAACGACGACAAAACAAAAAGTTGAAGGTAACTTGATGTTTCCGGCTTTATTGAAGATATTTTCTTCAGGGTCAGTAAAACTTTTTTTTTTTTTAAAGATATTATTATTGGGTTTTTTTTTAATTCAGAGAGGACACATTAAATTGGTCAAAAGTGACAGTAAGGACTTTTACATTGATGCACAAGATTTCTATTTCAAGTAAACGCTGTTCTTTTTAATTTCTGAAAGAAATGCATCTCGATTTTCAAAACTTATTAGAATTATTTTTTAAGGATCATGTGACACTGAAGACTGAAGTAATGGCTGATGAAAATTCTGCTTTGCCATCACATGAATAAATTACATTTTAAATCGCTTCTATTTTTCTTCTATTTATTTATTTATTTAATCAAATAAATGCAGCCTTGGTGAGCATAAGAGACTCCTTTCACAAACATTAAAAAATAAATACATTCCGTTTCCACAGAAATTTAAAAAGAAAATTTTAAAGAAATTTAAAAAAAAAAACTTCTAGAAGTTTGAGGTCCCTGTTGCATTGTATAATGAATGTAATTAAACACAGAGTGGAGTTGATGTCAAATCAGCTCTTTTGATGCATAAGAGTGTGAGGTTTGCTTTTGAATTTCCCATACAAAGAGTGAAATGTGTCAACATGCAGTCAGCTGATGTGGTCTCTAGATCCACTGGGAGTTCCTACCTCACTGTCAATATCAGAGGGCAGGATCCCTTTGATGGCAGCAAAGATCCTCAGGTGTTCCTCTACAGTGAGCACATCAAAGATGATGTTGAACTGGGGACATATACCAACCAGCTGTCTCATCTCGGCCCCCTCTGCTATCTCTGCCACAGGAGAGCCATAGATGGTTGCCGTGCCTATGCATAAAACACAAAATAACAATTGTGAGTGTAGGAGCAGTACAACTACAGTTTTTGCAAGGTATAGAGACCCAGTAAGATGTGTAAGGTAGATGTGTTCACAAAAATGTTCAAAATGATCATCTATGCATCACATGTCTGACCTGCTGTAGGGGGGCAGATGCCACACAGGATGTTCATGAGGGTGGATTTTCCTGCTCCACTGTGACCCAGCAGGGCAGTGATCTGACCCTCATAGATGTCAAAAGTCAAACCTTCAGATCACAAACAGACAGAAGATAAAACATTCACCAACATATCAGAGCCAGAAGTCTCGTCATAAACTACATTTTAAAAAACCAAGTCAAGATCAAGTGCACTATGGGACTATGGAAGTAAAAAGGGTTGCAAAAACCATTTTGTGCAGACTAAAAGCATTGTATCTAAAGTATACCAGAAGTAATTAAGTTCTAAAATCCATAAATGCTGAGCAAGAGGATGCATACACTATTTATTACACAAACAAGAAAATGTCACGATTTGGACACAGGTGGGAAGTCTCACCTCTCAAAGCTTCCACTTTGGTGTCTTTCTCTCTGTAGATTTTACGGATATTGCATATCCTAACAAGAGTAAATAAATAAACACAGAAATGAATATTAGATGGTTGTTCTGGCTGCATGCCAGCTCTCTTCAAGGCCAAATCTATCCAGGCTTTGAAAGAATTTTAACATACATCAGCTCTAAAAACATTGCTCCCTTTCCCCAAACTGCAGCCTAAATCACTTCACTGGTTTGCAAATACTGACTAGCTTTTGTAGTTTGTAGATAAAGATACTTTGAGAATAGAATATATGAAAGGGTGGGGGGCATGAATTTTTAAACAACATTTTTTTTATTAAATGATGTTGTGCAAGTAGTTGTGGACCATTGATTATTTTTTTGAGTCAAGTCCGCACCTGATAACCTCTTTGCCTCTAAACTCAGGAGAAACCGCCTCCACAGATTCATCATTCACAGGGGTTCCGTTGACCTCGCCCTCGTACACAGAGCTCACCTCCACATAACGCTTCCTCCGCTTTGACCAATAGGATGGCTGTAGGAAGTACAGCACTGAGCGCCTTGTGCCAAACTCGCCTGAAGGAAGAAATGGTTATTTATGTGGGAAGGTCACAAACGCCTCCATCGCATGTTGAGTAATAACTAACACACATTTGTGTGTATTCTTTACTGCAGCCACATAATGATTTTTATGGAATCTGCAAATGCTTTTAAACCTTTAAAGAGAACAGACTGTTGCATTTACAGAAAACCTAACATTTTTTTAAGTGTTCAGCTAGAAAAGTGTGCTAGTGCAAGCTTCCTTTTAAGAAAATGAATTTGCATTTAAATAAATTAGTATACGATGCCTGAATATAAACACTTAAGAAGTGGAACTCTACTAAAAACACAAAGATTATTTCTGTGGTGCTAAACTGTTCATGCAAAATGCTTTGACTCTAGTTGTCACCTGGTAACACTTGGTCCAGGTAAATGGCTAAAAGCAGATAGAGAATGCAGTCCAAGAACAGCATGACCATAGGAACATAGAGGGCGTGAGGACCATTGCCCAGAGAGGAAAACACTGCGCCGTCCCCTTGAGCTTCCAGATACACCACCTACACATAGACACACAAACAGTGCCAGAATATAAACCATTTCATATATGGGATTTTTGACTTACTACATACTGACCACAAACTTATGAATGGTAGTATATGATTTTTTTTTAATGTTTTTTTAATTTTAATGATTTTAATGTGCTTACCAAGGCTGCATTTATTTGATCAAAAATGTAATAATGAAAATTTTACAATTTAACATACTGTAACTGTTTTCTATTGATCCTTCAGAAATTCTTCTAATATGCTGATTTGGTAGCCAAATCAGAAAAACATTTCTGATTATCTATGCTGAAATCAATTGTGCTGTATTTCTGTATTTTTTTCAGGTTTCTTCGAAAAAAAAAAAAAAAAAAAAAAAAAGTTATAAACAACAGCATATATTTGAAATAGAAATCTTCTGTAGCATTATAAACGTTGTTAGTGTCACTTTTGATCATTTTAACGCATCCTTGCTGAATAAAAGTATTTTCTAAAAAAAACAGAAGTGTACATAAAATAAACTGAACATGTGTGAAAAACATTCTAGGCTAAAGTACTACTGATTTGTTATTTAAAATCATCACTGTTCTCATATGTGTTTCTTGGCGAACGGTCCTATAACCTAAGTGACTGCCGTTAAACCATGGAGACCGTGGAAAAGTGTGTTACCTGGGCGATGCCGATAGAGAAAGCGCTGGGAGACAGAAGGCAGAGGAGCCACACGGCTGACTGGGGGAAATCTCTCATCAGCACAGTGAAAAGAGACAGGCATCCGAACACCACCGTCAGCATGGAGCCCACTGTGCTTGCAAACTTGGGCTTCTTAAACAAAGGGGTCAACATGAAGGAGAAGAAAATCTGTGGGATTAAGATATGGGAAAATTAAGTCTTGAGGTCAACCAATTAAAATGTAACATTCCTGGTTTCATTGTGATTGATTCATCAATGAGAGAGAGAGAAACCATTATATTTTTAATATTTTAATCCGTCACACAGACACCACTTTTCACAATACAATCAATTCCCAATGGATAAAACCAAGACCTGTCCTGCATTTTGTTCTCGTTGAATATCCTGCTGCATTCAGAAATATCACATTATGGAAATAACTTCCAAATGCAGTTTCATTTTTGAAGAAAAATACACTTTACTGCTGACAACTTTGTAGCTAATGCTTTCTTGAAAGAAGAGAGAAAAAAAACAAAAAAACAGCTTGCATTCTGTCAGATATTTTACCAGTACAGTCACGGAGCCCACTGTGCTTGCAAACTTGGGCTTCTTAAACAAAGGGGTCAACATGAAGGAGAAGAAAATCTGTGGGATTAAGATATGGGAAAATGAAGTCTTGAGGTAAACCAATTAAAATGTAACATTCCTGGTTTCATTGTGATTGATTCATCAATGAGAGAGAGAGAGAAACCATTATATTTTTTATATTTTAATCCGTCACACAGACACCACTTTTCACAATACAATCAATTCCCAATGGATAAAACCAAGACCTGTCCTGCATTTTGTTCTCGTTGAATATCCTGCTGCATTCAGAAATATCACATTATGGAAATAACTTCCAAATGCAGTTTCATTTTTGAAGAAAAATACACTTTACTGCTGACAACTTTGTAGCTAATGCTTTCTTGAAAGAAGAGAGAAAAAAAACAAAAAAACAGCTTGCATTCTGTCAGATATTTTACCAGTACAGTCACACGCCGCTGAAAACCAACACAGCAAAAAGCAATTTAGCCTTAGAAAATGAAAACTGATAACATATTCATTATGAACTCAGATTAGCCCGTCACTCAAATGACTACTCTCACTGTAGGCAGAAATCGAGACCTGAGGCCAAATGAGTGCACAGCCATTTAAATTGCTTTGCACTCTCTAAAGCTTGGAGTCGCTATTGTTCAGGATGTGACTGGAGGGTTGCTAGGACTTACAGAGGATATTCCATAGAGGAAAATAAGGAGGAAGATGACAAAGAAGTTGCTGTTGGAAAACAGGGGTGTGCAGGTTGCTATAACAGCCATGAGAATGGACATGGTCGTCACTAGTGCAGCATAGAGAAGGCCCCATGAAAGCCTAAAGAAAGCAAAAGAAAAGTTTACAAACGGATTTTTACATTTAAATTACCTATGAATTACAACAGGTACTGTAGTGAGCACACTCACCAAAAGGCAGAGTCATACAATCCCATCATGCCCATGGTGTCTTTCAGGCGCTGCTCTTTTTCAGCTGCCACATTGACAATGAGGAAGGAGACAAAGGGTGTAAATGCCAGCACTAGGTATATGGAGATCAGGGCGTGAGGGAACTTCTGGACCTCCACCGAACCCGGATGTCCCATCATCACTGCACGCACTTTTAATTCATTCCACACCGGACGTTTGGTCTTCATCTGCAAAAGAATGAAGACAATATTATAGAAGCAAAAATCATGTCAAAAGAACGCAGCAGTGACTTCCTATTACCATTAATGCACTGTAAAAATGTAATATCATAAAATAATGTAATTTCAAATAGGGATGCACGATATTATCAGAAAGTTATCGAAATCGGCCGATAATAACTTAAAATGCAAATATCGGCATCGGCCTGATATGAAAAATTATGCCGATATGCCTTGCCGAGAAAATGAATAACTCACATGTGCTCAGGGTGTGATAGCAATAAGATCACGTCAGCAATGTGGTCATTCTTTTTTCCTGAATGATGATTAGATTCATGGTTTTGAGCATTTAATCTGAGAATGCGAGTACAGAATGACGGTCCGGTGTGCAATAGAGTCAAGTTCCTCCGGGTCCTAATGCCCGTCCGGTAAGGTGTTTTATTTACTTAGGGGGCACTGTTGGCCTACTTGTAATAAAATGAAAGTAAAATACACAAATAACATATATATATATATATATAAATACACACGCACATTTATTCATTAATGTGCAATATGCTTTTTTTCAAACTGATTATGAAAACTTAAAAACAAGGAGCTCTAAAAGATTTTCAGAATTTGTAAAACTCTTTTGCTCTACAAATGTTAATTATTAAAATAAAATGTTAAGGATTGCTTTATAGTTGCTTTATAGTTATTTTCAAAGCTTTCAATGTACTGTCATTATAAAAAGAACTTCATTGTTTATTTAATTCTCAAAAGTAAGTTTTTGTTAAAAACTAACCAAAATGAAAACATTTGTTTATAATCCCTGCACAGAAGAGACTGTGTTGTTTCCAAACAAAAGGAAATATCTCGGTATCGGCCAAAATGAGTTGAAAAATATCGGATAAAATGTTGTTCTTTTGAACTTTCTCTTAAATAATCCTGCAAAAAAACATGCATCACAACATTGATAGGAATAAAAAAAGTAAGCTGTAAATCAACATAGAATGACTTCTAAAGGATCATATGATCATGTAAAGACTGGAGTTATGGCTTATTTTAAAATATTTTTACTGACCATAATCTTTTAAATGCTAGTATAAGCCCAGACTTCAGCAGGCAGATGTATACACTGCATATTAGCAGCCACAATGCTTAAATGCTAATAAATTATTCATCAATGCCATTTCAAACCTGTATAATGGCAGCATCAATGAGAGACTGCAGCCGTATGAATCCAGAATACCAGTAGTTGGCGGCACGGCAGTTGACATAGTTTGTGTAACAGCTTGCTGTGGAACAAAGAAAAAGAAATACCCATCATACCCATTCCTTTCATTACAGATCAAACGGTTGCAAAGTGAATGTCATTTGCATTAAAAAAAGAGGTCTCCAATTAACCAAAGAAGAAGCTAAATCAGGTGCCACAGCTGCTGTGGCTTTATGACATTAGCACTGAGTGATTCTCACTTATGGATTCGGTGAAGTCGCTAGGCAGAGGGAGCTGGCTGTACGGGAATCGCAGACGGTACGACATTGAATCCAAGAAGACCACTCCTACAAAGCCATCAGGTTCATAGAGACTGGCATTCTCCAAATCTTTCTCAGTGGAGAACATCTCTAATCGCTCATTCATAGCTGAGGATTCAATACCCACAAAAAAATAAAAAGCACACAGCGAGTTTACGTTTAAAAACCATCAGAATTAATGCTACCTCACCGTTAATTAGCAAAGCATTCAGTAACATACAAAATACACCATGCAATACCATTTAGTTGTTTGCTTTAAATGAGGATCAGAAATTTGAATTACGCATCAATGTTACAGATAAGTGAAATGTTCTAGTTTTTTTTTTTTAAGTAAAGAAAGATACCAATAAAAGTGACTTACACAGTTCCCGTGCCACCTCTTCCATGATGTGATTGGTGACATTGTTAATGGGGGTGTAGCCGAGACCTTTGAGAGACGGGTCCCGTTCATATTCCAGCTCCTTAGTGCTGATACTGCCATATGAGACATGAGGGTTGAGGGTGCTAATGAGGATGAGGAGGCCCAGGAGCAGCAAAGGCAAGATCAGCTCCTGCAAATAAAGAAGAGGAACAATTCAAATTTGACATGGAAATATACATACATACAAAACAAAACACAAAAACAAATAAATAATAAATATAATATATATAGAATGTTAAATAGTTATAAACAACCATTTTAATACTGTAAATATTAATACAATTAATTATAAAATGTAAAAAATTACAATACCTTCCAAAATATTGTCAAGATATATTGTGTATACCACAGGGGGAAAAAAAAAGTAAATCCATACTGTCATGTTCTCAAAGCTACAGCTCTTGATTTACTGCCTTAGGGAGGCCATAAACACAAGAGTGCCAGTGAGGGTTTCCAATCACCCCTCTGGGTTTATTTGCTAGACCATGACATGAGTTTGGCTTTTAATGTGCCTGGAGGACGTGCACTACAATGTTTGTTGCAAAAAGTTCTGGCAAATTCATTTTAAGACCACATTGAAGAAAGTCCCTGATTTCATGATTACAGAATTTCAATACTGGATTTTGATTGGTCAAATAGGCTAATGTCTCCCTTAAAATCAAGACTATACTATTATAAATGTTAAAAAAATATATGTTTTTGCAAGTGTACATGATCAAATGTTTGGGGTCAGTAAGTTTGTTTTCTTTTTGTTTTTTTAAGATTAATACTTTTATTCAGCAATGATGCATTTATTAATATACTATTTTCTATTTTAAATAAACGTTCTTTTTGAACTTTCTATTCATCAGAGAATCCTGAAAAAAGACATCACAGTTTCCACAAAAACATTAAGCAGCACACCTGTTTTCAACATAAAAAAGAAATTATTGTTGAGCAGTAAATCAGCATATTAGAATGATTTCTGAAGGATCATGTGACACTGAAGACTGGAGTAATGATGCTGAAAATGCAGCTTCTCCATTACAGGAATACATTTCATTTTTAAAATATATTTCAGCACACATATATATAATTTGACAATATTACTGTTGTTGTCTCATATTTTTGATTAAATATACTTGGTGAGCACAAGAGACTAACTGAGCCCAAAGTTTTGAACAGTAGTGTATCTGTGTTTGAAAAATATTTTGCTGCATAGTGGTAAATCACTATATGGTCTGAATTAAGTTTGCCCACCTACATACGTGAAGCCCACTATAACCAATAACTCCGAACAATACAACTTGCTTCACCATCTCCACCTCCAGGAAAATCAATACAGAGATGACAATCGTTGGCAAAAATCCCAACCGTGACTATTTCATAATGCAATTCATTTTGTTCCATTTCCAAACGCTTTCCATAATGTATCATGGCAATTTTCCCTTTACAATGTCGGTTTAAAAGTACTTAAGTATTGATGGCAGGTGCCGACATGAACTAGTGGAACACCCATCCATTAACAGCCTTTTAATTCTGAAAGACTCTTATATGGCTCTTCACGAAACAAACAGGAAGCAGAGAGCGATTAAAAATACATTAAAAGTTAAAATACATGACCTCATGAACAGAAGAAAAAAGAGAAATGGCTTGGAGGATTGTTTCTTTTCTCTTTCTGAGTCGAAGCAGAGAATAAACAACCTGCTGGGCAGTAAAGAGTCAACAGAGTGGAAGGAAGAAGATTTCATCCAGATGCAGGGGAATTACAACAGATCAGTAGTATTAAGGCCGCTAAGTCTTGTGATTTTATAAAGCAGTCTAGGTATCTGTAATTCTGCACTGCTCATTTAGCTTTCACCAGAAGTGTCGTACATACATTTAACAGGAAAAATCCTTCAGGAGGAAACTGAGGTAAAGGGTTGCGATCAAGGCCACATTATGAAAGGTCAGGGATCTTTGAACAGACTGAAAGGGTTTCTGCAGGTCTTTAAGACGAAGTAAGGACATTTTAAGAAACACAACAGGGCTGCACAATAACTTGTATTTTAACTGTGATTACGGTTTCTGCTTCTCTCTATATATTAAAGGGGACATGAACTCAGAAATAAAATTTCCCTTGATTTTTTGACATATAACAGGTCAATGTATTATAAAAACAGCATGTAAGTTTAACATTTCAAAACTTTCTTATTAGTTTAAAGACTAGGGATGCAACGAAATTAAAATTCTTGGCCGAAGCCGAACAAAATGAAACACTGGGCCGAAGGCCGAATACGTTTTTTGTGCTTGTGTGAAAGTGCAATAACTCTGATGAAATGTAAAAAAAAATCTAAAATGACAATCATGATTAATAATGATGTTTATATTTTGTGAGCAAAATAATTGCGATTGACAGTTTAACCATTATTTTCATTATTTTCGAGTGCAAAATTCTTAAATCAAGACATTTATTTGAGAAGCAAAAATGCATAAGAACCTGACAAAAATGAAGTGAGTTTATGAATAAGAATTACAAAAAAAAAAAAATCTGCCAATGGGCTCTGAAAAACCAACTTAAATCAATAGTTTTCATTACCAATTTTTCTTAGAATTTCTTCATTTCTTAATTTTGCATCTCAAGTAAATGCATCTTAATTTAAGAATATTCAGTAGGGATGCTCCGATCAGGATTTTTGCATCCGATACTTTTTGTGAGCAAAATAATTGCGATTGACAGTTTAACCATTATTTTCCAGCCCTAGAATACAATGTATTGTTAGCAATACTTCAAAGTTTACATTACATTTTAATTCATTTTACAAAAAAAAGCTTGATGTTTGAAAAGCTCTGCTCCCAACTGCAAGAATATGGAAATAACTGATGTTGAAAGTGATGTTCTTCATTAGTATTTTTGTCTTGTTTTCGAGTGCAAAATTCTTAAATCAAGACATTTATTTGAGAAGCAAAAGTGCATAAGAACCTGACAAAAATGAAGTGAGTTTATGAATAAGAATTACAAAAAAAAAAAATCTGCCAATGGGCTCTGAAAAACCAACTTAAATCAATAGTTTTCATTACCAATTTTTCTTAGAATTTCTTCATTTCTTAATTTTGCATCTCAAGTAAATGCATCTTAATTTAAGAATATTCAGTAGGGATGCTCCGATCAGGATTTTTGCATCCGATACCGAGTACCGATTTCTTGTCATGGTGATCGTCCGATACCGATGCCGATTCTGATGCTTCAAGCTTTATACAGACAGTTTCATCGGGCGCACACGCCTGGCCTGAAGTTAACTTCCGGTCTGTGCTTGTTTATCAGTCTAGCTATGGCGCCAGCTACAAACGCAGTTAAAGCTAAGGTGATGAGTAGGCTGAAGTTGGGCTCAGGTGCTTGTGCTGTGGGATGTGTTTCCCATACATTAATTTATTTGTGGCGCTCGCCACAATATCAAAACTGACTGATTTGACAGATGAAAGGCACCTGGAGACTCTGTTGTTTGGTCCTCCATTTGATCAGCAGGTTTTTGTAGAGCAGGCTCCTCGTCTGATGCCAGACTCCGGCATCTCTTCTGGTTATAGGCTGCATTCTTCCAGCATGCTTCAGCTGACTGGCACATGGATCAGACACAGCTGCAAAACAACACATAACCTTCTCATTTCAAATAAAAAAAAAAGGCACATTTTTGCTTTGAATTTGTCAGGCCAACTTCAGGGTGTTTCTTCACAACTTATAGGTCATATTGTTCGGCAAGCAAAGCTAAGATAAGATATGACAGTATGTGAGAATGTCTCTCTATGTCTCTTTTTGGAATGATCCCATATTATAATCTGAATGTTCTTTGTCAGTGAAATGCGTTGCATCAATATTCACACTTCTATAATTCATCTTAAGGTAATGACATTAAAATGTTTTATCAGAATTAATAACTTGAACGTCATTGATCATCATGCTTTATTTATTACTGTATTAACTATCCAATATTTAACACACAGGAGACTATGGAAGC